GACTTCAAAATTGGCTAGGGACAGAGTCATAGAGCAGTCAAGTTCAACCTAGAACCCATCACTGCATGGGTAAGGCTAGAGGCTTTTTTGTCCCCCCTGCCGTGCATCACGTCATTTGTGTTCATGATCAATTTTATCTGCTCTTTTTGTCACCTAGTCACACACTCAGCTCTTTCCAAAAGGCCTTGTCCCTACTGCTCTGAATAATTCAGCACTGATAGCGAACACTGTCACCTCGCTAGCCTGTTCCCTCCATCAGTCGTGGGTCCCAGTGTGGATCCTGTAGGAGTTACGGCGATGTGGTACCATGAGGTCTAACTCCTGTGCTCTGGTAAAGAATCAGTCTAGCAGAGTGGCCTTCATGCAGCTGCTTGGTGCTTCTGGATCCTCATAACCACAGCCACCGTGATGGCTGCACTCCTCTGCTGATTTGTGGATTGCAGAGATGGGTTGCATGGAGTCGGCAGAAGGCATGCTTCCACTTTATAGAGGAGCTGTCCTTTCATGCTTGTTCTGGTTGCATTCTTGTTCAAGCTGCCCTTAAACCTTCATAATGAGAACATCCTCTTCTCATGAGAACGTGAGAACTTGCAGTGGCTCCACCAAGTGATATGCGGCTTGAAATGAGCATAGATATTCACCCCTCATTCCATATTGGGGTTCATCTGGAAACTGAATACTCCTCACTTGATGTTAATTGGTGGGTCAATTTAGGACCTTTTTGTCCAAATGCTACTTGAGGTGATGACTAAGCTTAAGGATTCTTTTTTTTTTTCTTTTCCCCAATTCTTAAAACACTGCTGTTATTTTGCTGCTGTGTAACCACTGCTGTTTGCTGGCGTGTGTTGGAGGGTTTGTATTAGCACCCAGCAATTTGTGATTTGTATGTGAGAATACCCTTTCGTACTTGAGCAGCATTTCACGTTCAAATGCTTGGTCCAGCATAAAGTATATTTATTCTATGTAAATAATATCAACGAGTTGTGCACAACCAGCAAACTTGATTCACCAAATTAACAAGATTGATTTGGTAAAATATATAAAAGTTTTGAACTTTCTCAGTTTGCAAATCATGTTGTCTTGGCAAAATACACAAAAGGAAAGTTGCATAAACCATTAAAAATGCTTAGTTCCTTCTGTATTCAAACTCTTACGCTATCATTTTTAACCCTCCCAGTATCATTAAGGCACTTTTTCTTGATCTCTGTAACTTGGGTGTCAAATTTCAAAGTTCATAGCTGCTTTACTGAACATAAGAATAATATTTACAAGTTGTTTGTTTTTGTTTTTTTTTTTTACCCTGAATATAACGAAGTTTCTGTAGTACTGAGTGCACATTTTAGCTTTTTATGGGAATGAATGCAGCTGCTTGATAAATAAATATGCAATGCAATTACTGGGTCAGGAATTGTTGACAGTGGTCACTGTCCCCAGAAATCTTTTTTGAACTGCAAAATGGAGGTCATCAGGGAAGATCATCATGCCAAATGTTATCTCTGATGTTACGAGAAATCTAGAGAAAGAGGAAGCACAATACAGAAAACACAGCAGTTGCGAATTGTGCCGAGTTGCGCTAAAGAATCTTCTTTTTAAGATTTTCTTTCTAACGTGGTAGGAATATTGGTAGTGGTCTGAAGTTGCAGTCCTGGCGATGCTGGTGTAATCCAGTCAGAAAGCAGCCCCCAGTTTGGACGTATGTCCCTGGCCACTGCAGTGCGAGCTGCCTGCCCCGCTCTCCGGAGCTCCCACTCTGAGCAGAGCACGCGGGTGGCCGCTGGCTGGAAACCATCAGGGCAGGCTGCTGTGGGTCTCCTTGGGGGGCTTAAAAGGGTGGACATGCTCACTTGTTCGTTAGGAGCCGGACCAGCGGAGGGAAATAAAAGCATGGCCTGTTAGCTGTGATTTGCAGGCGGTGGGATCCTGTCTCTTCATTCTCTGGGTTGCTCTCTGAAGGCACTCAGCTGGGCGTTCTGGAGGGGCGTTCTGGGGTGTCAGGGCTGGCAGGGGCAGGCAGGGGCTGTCCAAGGGAAAGCCGCTCTCCTCTGGTCGCCTGGGCATTTCTCAGCTGGTGTATGCTCAGGGCTGGTCTGCTCCCTTTCCGCATTTCCACAAAGGAGCCCGACCCGGCAGCCGGTGGGGTAGGTGCCGGCGTGGAGACGTTCAGGGTCCATGGTTGTAATTGCTGGTCTCCTTTAGAAGGCATTTTTTGCAGTGACTGTGGAGATATGTTGGTATGTTTCACTTCTTGCAAGTTTGCCAAGAGACTAAGATTTCATTATTTTTCTGTTCTTATTATAACATTTGTCAGAAGGCAATGTCTGTATTTTAATACTTAAGAGAATAAAAGTATGCAAAATACACTACATACTATTTCAGCCCTTTAAAATGGTGTATTGGGTGGTGGTAGTTCTTGTTTGTCATAGATGCATAGAATGTAGCGGAGGAAAATGGGATGAATAGTCAAATTAGGATGGCAGAAAAAATAAAATAGCATTCCTGTTGCAGGAAGTAGTAAGCGAGTAGCTGTGAGATATTATCGTATGTGGTGGTGCTCAGTGCACACTTCCTCTGGCATGGCTCAGAGAAAAGGGGGGTCGATAAGTGTGGCAGTAACTTGTAGAGGGTGTCGGTTCCTTGCTGCTGTGCCTTCCAGCTCTTGCTTTCAGGACCACTCACGTCTGGTGTGAGAAGAAGACAGAGGACTGTGTGAGCCATGTTTCTACTCAGGCTGCTCATCAGGGTGCCAGTGAGAGTAGCGTCCCCTGTGAAAGTGTCTGAGAAAGGCCATGTGTCCCGTGAAGGTCGCTGCTGCTGCGTCCCCATGAGTGGCAGGGGGTCCCGCCGACCCAGGTGAGCCTTGGTGATGCTGTAGGTATGTCCCGTCTGCAACTATGGTTAGTAAGGGGAAGAACGGAAGCGTAAACAACACTTTACTTCTTAACAGTACTTCTCACTTTTGATCCAAAAAAGCAAAATTCAGGATAGACTAGTGAGGAGATAGTAACTGGTGATGGAGGGAGGTATTTTTTTATGCTATGACATTTTATTTACAAACTCCTGACTTCCTGAACATGGGATGAATCAAACAAAAAGCTGGACTCAGACCTCTTCCGACTCAGAATGCCATCCTTTGGGGCTTTCTTAAGATCGCGTGCCAGTCCTGATGGTGCTGTCGAGCCTTGTGAGCTATCTGCCTTGTGTACTGTCTTTTTCCTCCTGCGGGCATCTCATCCCCAAGCCCTTCACAGTCACCTCTTCTGCCAGCATCCCCACTTAGCATCACTAATGCTTGTGCAGGGACTGTAGCCCTTCGAATGACCTGGTAGGCAGGGACCCCATGTCACCTAGTGGGATGGCAGCACCCTGACCACCATTGCATCCGTCTGGAGCCCTTTGCTTTGCACTGGGCAGCAGCAGGTCCTAGCCTGGATTGTCTTTTCTTCCTCATCTCTTAACTGAAGGGAGCAGTTGACTTGCTCAGTTTGGAAGAAATTTCCTATATCATCTAACCTTTAAAATGTTATTTTAACAAAAACCATGGAATAAAGCAGTGACATCTTTTGTGACATCTTTGTTGGGACTATATTTGCCCCGGCTGCCTGTATTCTTTTGGTTGGTTGTATAATTCCTGGGGGGTGTATGTGTCTGTGCAGATTTGACCTTCTTTGTATAACATAGCCAATATTCATAAATCCTTATGAATTAATTATTGTATCTGTGTTTCTCATTCCTTATATTTGCAAAAACAATTCCCAAGCTTGTCAGTTCAGTGCATTACAAACATTTCCTGCCAGTGATTGGGCTGAGGAGTCCCATTAACACCCTTCAGAAGTACGCAGTATTGTAGTAGAAAGTCTTGACTTTTTTTATGATTGTGAATGAATTCTCATTTCCAGTTGGATACAAAACATCTGTTTCTAAAACTGATGCAGATCTGAGTACTGAGCTTTTGTTCTGCTTGCTCCCCTCCTTCCTTCCTCTCCTCCCCATCTGCTCATCCTTAAGAAAAGAAAAAAATGTTGCAAGCTGACATTTTCAGGTAATGCAGTGATGAGGAAAATAAACATTTTTATCCCCATGTTAGGTCAAAGTAACATAGTGTACTGCACTGCCCCGGCAGGAGGCAGGGGTTGTGGGTGAATTAGGTGAGCGAGGGGGCGTGGGTAGCGCAGAGCCCCGTGAGCCCCACGCCTTCCAGCTGGACTCGCTTCTGCTTGGCCGCAGGGTGGTCCGGCCGCACCAACAGCCACGCGCTCAGCGTGTCGCCCTCCCGCGCATTGCTTCTGCTGAGTTCACAAACAAAGCTTAAGTAAAAAAATTACTGCTGTTAACTCGGCAGGAGAAAGTGTGCCACGTAAAATTGCACCAGTTAGTGCAGACAGCGTTTAGCATTGACAGCATTTTATAACAGATTTTCCTGACCAAAGTTATTACAGGCAATTAAATCATATGTGATGTTTTCTTGGCGTGTATGATTAATTTCTGGTGTTCTGAAGGACAAAGTGAGTGTAACAAGATTGTTTATTTCTTGTTAAAATAGCAGGCTCTTTGAAGGGCAGGGTAAGCTCGTTTGGTTGCAGCATGAGGATACCTCAAGGGTAGAATTTTATTTCTGTCTTGCAAAACCTACCAGTAATTGTTTAATTTCTTCTTATTGTCCAGGAGTCCCTATGCTACTTTCTAAATCTGAAATTTAACAGCCTAATTTTACTGATAAGTTAAATTTTTCATTCTATTTTTATTTCTGATCTTTAGACAAGGGTCTAAATTATTCTAAACCCACAACCTTTTAGCATTAAAAGATTAGAACCTATGAAGTATTTGTGCAAACCCTGATACTCACACTGAAACTGGGCAATGCTTTGAGCTGTTTGCATGTAGGATCATTTTCAGATCTAACCCAAATATTCCATTTTTTTAATTAGGCTTCAGAAAAACCCCACCGAGATAATTCCTATCTCCCATCGGTTATAGTATCTGAATTAAGGAGTAGTGGATGTAAGAGGAAAAGTTAGGACCAGGGTATTGGGAATGGTCAGTTTATGATTTGATATTAGAGGATTAAACAGACCAGCTTTTAGAAGCAACTGTCCTATCAAATTTGTAATTGTTCTGGTATGAGTATGTCAATAAAACATTTTAATTATTAGTAGTTTTATTGTCCCAAAACTGGGTATTTAAAAGAAGTAAAATGTGGCTCAAATAAAGAAATTGTTCCCTTTAATATTCTATTTTAATAGTAAAATTTGTTATTTAAATATTTGATTTTTAATTCTATTTTCTGATGTTTTAAACTATGAGTTTTACATAGTCATGTTTCCTCAGTCATAAATTAAAACAAAAGTAGCTGCTTACGAAAAACATCTTTTGCTAAGATACACAATACAGAGCAATCCTTGCCTGTAGATCAGCAGTCTTTGGTGGCGTAGCTTGAGGCTGTTCTATGTGTGGGACTAATAGGTGTGGGAGTTTGTCTGCCTTGATTTTCTGTATTTATTTACCATTATGACTGCTCATTTGTGTTCTAATTAATTTGTTTGTGGTTTGCATAATGCGTGGATGACTTCCTGTTCACCTTATTTGTCAATTAAGAAAACCCCAACCTGTAGTGGTAGTTATTTAAAAACTAAAAGAGAACGTTTGAGAGCATTGGTAATGTACAGAAACATGTAATGAAAAGGCAGAGTCTTTCACCTGGAAGGAAGTATAAAATTGCACGTGTGGTCCCTCTTCAGCTATGAAACAGATTTACAGAATAAGCCCTTTACAACTGCCTTATAGTATAAAACACCATAAAAACTGTGTAAGCTGCAGCAGATTCTGTTACTTACTGGCTGGAGTGCAGTCTTCTGTCTGCTCTGCTTTACCCATTAGCTGCTCCTTTGCAGCTGGATAGGCTTCAGTTCTTTAAGCAAATGCTTTGCAGTATTATTTTCATTATCTGCTTCGGTAGTGATAGTGGTTCATAGTGTGCTGTATCTCTGCAAGCAGAAAGTTGAAGAGCTGGTGAGTTGTGCCTTGCCGCTTGGCCAAATGTGGTTGAGATCTCAAGTGCTGCAGATGGTCAGTGCTATTTTTGTGCACTTACATGTGCTTCCATGAAGATCAGCGTTGAACTGGTTTCAAGAAAGACACATTTGTGCAGTTGGCAAAGCAGTAAGCGATCTTAAGTTAAGGGCTGGTGTGTTCTTTTCTTAAACTGTTCCCAGGCCTAGCTGCGACCTTTTCTGTAAAGCTTACTACCCTGATAGCTTCTGCTTTTGTTAATGGGAGTGTTCTGAACTGGAGCGCACAGGGTTACGTCGTGGTTGCTCAGGGCGTGCTCAAAGGCTGAGAGATGTATTCTTGGGATAAGTGATGAATCTTTGGAGTATGGCTTTTTTCTTTTTCTTCTTTTTTTTTTCCCCTCTTTTATTTTCTTTCAACCTTAATCACCTGCCTGTCTTCCTCCCTTCCTGTTCTTCCCATATGTTTACTGGGAGGCTTTGAAATCAAGCACAAAATTAGTGGAAATGTATGGTAATGGAAAAGCTAGTATCTTTTCTATGAATCTGGGAAAGTAGTATATTCTGAGAGACATCTGAGGTTTAAAGAGAGAAATTGAGGTTTATATGTTTATTTTTAAAAAAGTGAAATATGTAAGTTGTGTACATTAGTGTTAATAAACATTTAGTACCTGACGAGCTCTGCTTTACGGTGCGTAACTCAAACCCTCCACTAAATACCCAATTTCCTCATGGACTTTCCTTCTGGAGTGTTTATTACCTTACAAGAAGGGGCCCAAAGGCATGGACAAATGAACGTACCTTCTGCTAATGCATTGCTGCCGTGTACGCATCCTTTACTCAGAGCCAGTGTGTGTTAACCTGAACCTGTAGTCTCTTCCTTCCCCCAAATTTCATTGAATCTTTCTCGATGAAATAAGGGGGTATCTTCAGAGACAAAACTGTCGTTAACATTATTGTGAGTACTCTTGCCCCTCTCTCATTTCTGAGACTCCCAGATCAAAGCCATAATGGTCAATTATTCATTGCTTTTGGGTGATGAGTTTGGATGTTCGTTTCATTGACAGTTTTTAACCTGCCTTATGTTCTGTTTCTGTGGCAGTGTGAGCATTCAGCTTTTCTGAGAATCTGAATCTGAGCTCTTTGGGTCTGGTAGGCAGGAGCTGTGATGTCGAAATTTGGTTTCAGTTACTTTCTTGGGTGTCAGAGGCAGGGGTACACTCTGGGCCCCACTCAGCTGCCTGGCACCGGGCTCCTTCCTCCTTGGGCAGTCTCCTTGAGCTGCAGCAGCTCCTGCGGGGGTCTTGTTGCTAACAGCCTGCTTCGCTGGCACTGCTTCTGTGGTCCCCATTGCACTACATCTGCCCCGTGGGCTGGTGGGCTGTAGCTTTAGGATTCATGTCCCATGGACTTTGTGTGTCACACCTCGTACTGTCAGGCTTCAGTTTCAAGCAAATTGAAGGAAAACTATCTGTCCTAAAGAGTCATAGCTCTTCACATGCCTCAGCAGCAGAGAGGGTTAAACTTGTAGCTTAGGAAGATGTGGTGAGTGCCAGAAGTTGCAAGTTTTAACCCTCCTCATGAGGGACCATCACCCAGTGCCCTGGGAAGGCTTAGAGGAGCACTTGCATGTCCCTTTACTCTTTTCCCCCTGCCCTGCACCCATGTCACTAGTGTAACCTGCCCAGTGTGACCTGCCCCGCTTTGTTCCCAGTGCCAGCTGCTCCCCTGCGTGTGTGTGCACGTCCAGTGTCCTCGTGTGCCTACACCCAACTCGGGCCCTTTCCTCTCTCTCCTGGGGGAGGCTTGATGAAGACCACCACAGGCATGGGCTGGGAGCAGCCAGGAGGAGCCGTGTTGCTTTGAGCACTTTGCCAGACTGGAGGGGGTGGGGGTTTGCCAGCGATGGTGGGGGGCCGTTGAACTGCTGTTGCTGGGACGTGCTCCCTTACTGAGGCTCAATGCATCGGTGAGGGTTTCAGGCAGGGCAGGGAGCCCCAGAGAAGCCTATTCCTTCTCCTGTTCGTCATGGGGTATTATTTTAACTGAAGCATGTTTTAGAAAAGTATGGATTCTGTTTTCATTCTCATTCCCGTTCCGAATGTGGAAATCAGCTAGAGAGGAATCATGCCTGTGAGACATAAGTTAGTGGCAGCACAAGCTATTTCTTCTTTACAGCTGGTCTGTGGTCCCATGGCAGCGGACCTGGGCTTTGTGCAGGCTTGGAGGTAGCCCAGGCTGTTGGCTGTGCGACAGGAACGCGGCTCCGTGGGGGGAAGTGCTGCCGTTCCCAGCCTGCGCTCAGGCGGGCGTCCTGCTCCGCTCCTGCTGGGGCGTGGGTGCCACCATCTCCTCGAGACTGCGCTGCCAGAAGCTGGTGTTGAGGGCTGCCCATGTCAGTGCATCTCCTGGCTGCTCTGAGCCACGAGGCCTGTTGCCTGGGAAGCCCGACTGGAGCCTGCTGCTCTGGGCTGGGCTGCGGAGCAAGGAGGCTTGTCCAAGGGCAAGCCTGCCGCATTTGCCTCTTCTCTGGCTGACCTTCTGCAGCCAGGGGGGGACCAAGCAGGATGATGCACAAGGCTTTTCAGGTGCTCCCCAGAAGGCATGCAGTCAGCTAAACTTTTCATCTCTTTCCATCTACCCTATTGTCATTTTTTGAAACAAGGATGAGAGGAATGGGTCAGATAAGGCTTTGGCTGACCACAAGTGCTTTAAAAAACCTCTGGCCCTCTGAGATAGAGTTTGTAATTCATTCTAAAAACCACCCCCCCCCCAAAAACAGCAGCAGAAGCCTCAATATCCCTTTTGGGACCAAGGTCAACTTTCAGAGTGTGACCCACAACAAACTTTTTCCAATAGCTTTCTCATCTAAGCCTAAAATTAAAATAAGCAATGTTCCATTTGTGTCCAGATGAAATCCTTGCAGAAGAGGAAGAAAAGTGCAGTCTGCCAAGACAAGTGAGTTTGAAAGTGAAATATAACATAAAGGATAAGAGGAACTTCTTGGCAAAGCAAAATTGTCCACCAACCTCAATTAAATCTCTCCCTCCCAAGGGCCGTTCTCACTTTATGTGCAGCACCCCAAACTTTCTGTTGAAGGAGGCCATCGTTCAAAGACCTAGCAAAAGGGAAAATTTGAGCAGTGAGAAAATAGCTTAAACATTCAAAAGTTATTCCCATTGTTTCAAGCGATGGACTATTTAGCAAAGAGCTGAATAACCTTTTTTGCTGATTCATCAGAAAATCAGGACTTGAGCCTGCAGCCAACAATTTGTATCAGACTACCAAACTTTGTGCGACAGAAATAGTCTTTCCTACAGGCTAACACGGCAAACTTGTCACTGAAGGACTGGGCTCTGGTAGAGTAAAATGCCACGCAACAAGAGTAAGATTCTTGTTTGAAGACTGAGTGCCTCAAAGCAAACTGGCAGTGAAGTCCAGAGCACAGGCCAGGCTGGTAGCCAGCTTCTCCAGGTTTCTTTCAGCTTTAATTACCAATGCAGAATGAATAGCTTTTTTCTGCTTTCTTCTCCACACCCTCCTGCCCAGCTGTTTTCCAAAGGCACCAGCACACAGGCTGCTTTCCCCAGTCCCCTGTGAACTGCAGTAACAGAAGCAGGGCTTTTACCCTCTGTTTCTGCTTGCAAAGAAGCTGAGGAGGCGGTTACAAAGCAGATCTAAGCAGACATCAGGATTTCCAAGGGAGACTGTGAGTCTTCTATTGCAACAGACTTGTTGCAAAGGGGTCGAAGGTGTTAAGCTGCAGCAGTCCCTGCTGCTGCAGTTATGCTACAGTTTGTTTCATAGTGCTTCCTCCCTGCTTTGCCTGTTGTTTAGTACGTTATTTCTATCCCCAAATTTTTTATTTTTCAGTTTTCCCCAAAGTGGCCCAAAGCCACCTATATGCTTTCCATCGGCAGCAGAGGTGACCGTGCACCGTGTTGGACCTGAAGGTAGTGATACGGTGTGGAAGTGGGACTCCTGCCAGAAGAATTGCTTGGTTTTCTGGAGATGGCTCTTACACTTCAGCATGTCCAGGGCTCATTAATGTTACTTGTGTATGTGTGAGAACAGAAGTCTCTTCTGCCTCATCTGCATTACCAGTGTTAAAGCATCTCAGGCTTACTCCAGGTGTGCTCAGTTCATGCCAGGAGGTGTAGATATGCAGAGCCATGCCCTGCTCCTAAGTACAGAAAGCTTGACCTAGATCTAGGTCTTCTTTACAGCGCAGAGCAATTTCTCTTTCATGTTTTTCTGAAGCATAGTGTTCCTTCTTGGGCTGGTTAGCTGATTTACAGTCCAATCATAGGCCTCCATCCCTGAATGACTCAGTAATTTGTTATTTTTAGATCTATAAAGTAGACTTCTCCTAGCTAACTAAGGTGGATGTGAGCACAGGCAAGTGATCTGTAGTGCTTATGCTGACCTTGCAGTACTCTTGCCTCAGGGAAGGCAGGGCTCAGACCCAACCGTCCCGTCCTGATGCAGGTGAGCTCCCTGGTTCTGCAGAGCAGGAACTGCCCTTTTCCTCTGCATGGTCCCATCCCGGCTTTGGTTTTCTGCGCAGTCTCACTGCTCTGGTTAGAGGGAGAAGTGCATCATGCTTACATCTTCATCTGAGTATGAAAGAGAAGATCTCAGTTTTCTCTGGGATGCCATTGCTGCATAAGCACTCCTCAAGGTAATAACCAAGTGACCATTAGGAAACAGATACATTTGAGTTCTGTACATAGTTGTGTATTGTCTTTCCTTTTTGATGGAAACAGCTATGGAAACTTCAGTTGTGGGATTCTGTTGTCCTTTTATTATAAATAAGAACAGTAAACTTCCTCCATGCTTTGCCTGCAAATTTCCTTTTTTAGAGTTGTAAAATCCACAGACCCAGACTCTGTGCTCTGCAGCGTCTTAATTGGAAAGTCCACGAAATTATCTGTTGGCACTCAGAGTTGTTGTGCATTAAATATCTTGCGCCATCAGGGGATTCGTCTGTTAGGTTTACACTTTAATTTTCTTTACTAACCGGA